CATCATCATCAGCATCATCAGCCGCATCATCATCATCATCATCACCACCACCATCATCATCATCATCATCATCATCATCATCATCATCATCATCATCATCATCATCATCATCATCATCCTCATCCTCATCATCATCACCATCATCATCATCATCAGGCCATCGGCCACAATGCGGGGGCGGGCGCGGGCGAGAGAATGAGCAGCGGCAGCAACGATTGTTGGTGCCAGAAAGGCACTCGTTGGAGAAGGTCATGGACTGTAACGCAGGGAGGTTATGCGAGACCGACGCAGTGGCAGCAGGTACTGTCGGAGCGAGAAGGGCGTAATCGCAACAAACTGTCGGTGCGCAGCGGAAGCTAGTCGGAAATGATCTTGCGAGAAGCGCACACTGGTGGCTGGAAAAGAGCTGTTGGGGGCAAAGGCTTGTGCGCGAACGCGTACACTGGTGCAGGCACGGTCGTGGCCTAAGAGGACCCGCGGCGGACGGGGCGAAGCACAGCCATCAGCATCAGCTCGACAGGTGGAATCAGCTCGTGCGCAAAATGCTGGGAGGCGCAGGCTCGCTAGGCAAGCTTGCGACAGCAGCTGGGGCCCTGCGTCATCAGCTACATTGCGAGCTAGACCAGGCATCATCAGACTATAATGCGGGAGACCCGCAGCCCAGGGACGGCCTGGACAGGGTGTAACTCTCAAGACCCCTTTCGGGCCGCCTACAGCCCCGCGCGCAGACTACGAGAACCCGCGTTAATCTCCCTCCTCCCTCTCGGGTCTGAGGGGGGGGGTTTGAGAATCAGCTCACGTAGCTGATTTTCCCGGCGCCTCCCGGCGCCGGGAGGCGCCCACGTATCGAGGAATGGGCCCCTCGGTGGGGCCGAAACCAGCTACATGCAGCAAATTTCGTAACCCCCCCTTTCCCAATCCCCCCCTTTCGTCCGGCCCGACCCTCCCTCCGCACCTTCCTCCCCGCTTCCTGGCCCCCCCCCAAAAAAATCTCGGGCGTCGTGACCTTGTCACGACGCGGCCACCCCGACCCCCTCCACGGGACCCGTGCTTCACCCCAAGCCGTGCCACGGCAGTCCCTGGGGCAACTTGACAACCGGGCAACCCGAGACAGGCCTGGCAACCAACAATGATGGGCCTGTATTCCACCACCACCACCACCACCATAAGTTGGAGGGGGAGGGGGTCCTCCTCCTCCTCCTCCTCCTCGTCCTCCTCCCCGTCCTCCACCTCCTTCCCCCCTCCAACTTATGGTGGTGGTGGTGGTGGTGGTGGTGGTGGAAAACAAGCCCATCAAACAAGGCAACCCGAGGAAGGAAATGGCAACCCTCACGAGGATGGCAACCCCCCGACGAGCCCGAGACCTCTGCCGGCCATGTCGACCAGTAATGGGGACTGGGCGCCCTGGCCCTGGGAAAGTGGCAGCCCTCACGAGGATGTCGCCACTCCTGGCCAGGGCCCCCGGAGGCCGAGAACGTCGCCCCCGCCATGTCCCCAGGCTCCCGACGTCATGACTTGTTCAGAACGTCGACCCCAGAGATCTGGCTCCCTTCCCAGAGACCAGCTTTTCATCCTGGATTGTTTCTTGACGGTCCCGAGGCCTGGTGAGGGCATCTAGCAAGGAAGAAGAATATACATGAAAACTGACCGCCGTGCATTCTTCATGACCCGAGGGGGTCTGAGTCTTGGGCTTCCGCCCACGACGACGATGTCGTCCTCGTCCTCGTCGCCCCCCTGCCCCCACCTCGTCCTCCTCGGCCTCCTCGTCCTCCTCGTCCTCCTCGTCCTCGTCCTCGCTGATGACGACGTCCTCGCCCTCGTCATCGTCACCCCTCTGCCCCGACCTCGTCCTCGTCGTCCTCGTCGTCCTCCTCGCCCTCGCCCCTGTCGACGACGACGACGTCCTCGCCCTCGTCATCGTGGCCCCTCTGCCCCGCCTCGTCCCCCCCCCCCGGCGGCGCACCGCGGGAACTCTAGCGCCGCCCTCAGCCTCCGCGCCAGGGAGGATGGGAGGAGGGAGGAGGAGGGAGGAGGGAGGAGGAGTAGGGAGGAGGAGGGAGGAGGAGGAGGAGGAGGAGGAGGAGGAAGGAAGGGGGAGGAGGTAAGGGGGATGAGGAGGAGGGGAGAAGTGCTAGGCCCGCCGGGCGCAAGTTGTTGGTCCCATTGCACAAGTCGGCATCCACAACTTTCATACGAACGCTACAGCCACGACGCTCAAAGGAGGGAGGAGGAGGAGGACGACGAGGAGGAGGAGGGAGGAGACAGAGGGAGGGGGAGGGACGAGCGAGGAGGGACGCGGAGGAAGAGAGTAGGTTCACAGCCCACAGGTGGGGACTGGGGGGATGTCAGGAAGAGGAAGAAGGAAGAGAAAAGAAGAACTTTGGGGATGCAAAATGAAAAGAGGCGGGGTGTGTGGGATGATGGATGGAAGCGAGAGGGCCTCACAATGACAATACAACTTGTTGCGGCACGCGTCAGCTGGCGAACGGTTAAAGTTGATGCGCCGAGCACGACCCCGTCGGATGGAAGTCGACAACCGAGGCAATATCGAGGCATGCGGCGAGGGGGGGCCTGAGCATACAGGAGGAAGTGGAGGGGAGCTAGGAGCTCGCACCCAGCGACCGACCACAGCCCTCCCACTCGTGACTCCATTGGGAACTCCGCAGATTCTGGGCGCGCGACGTCCTTCTTCTTAGACGAAGCGAAAACGAAGCCCCACCCAAGCCGAAGCCAGTGTACACCACGCGAAATGGTTAAGAAATCATGGGTTAAGAAATTCATGGTCTCAGAACTTGAATAAGAACCCAAAATTTCCATTCAAATCTTAGGATTTACATTGAAACGTTAAGAATAATCGACACTCTGGCCGAAAATTCAAGTTTTCTTAAGCATCGCCTAAGGTGTATCCTGGATGCCCTGCGCCTGAACCGTCGGAGACGGCGGAGCCCCTGCGCGGGCCAAGGCTCCCCCCTGCAGAAATCGCGCCCCGCGAGGAGGAGGGGGAGGAGGAGGAGGAGGAGGAGGAGGAGGAGGAGGAGGAGGAGGAGGAGGAGGAGGAGGAGGAGGGGGAGGAGGAGGAGGAGGAGGAGGAGGGGGGGGGGAGGGGGAGGGGGAGGGGGAGAGGAGAGGAAGAGGAGGAGGAAGAGGAAGAGAGGAGGAAGAGAGAAGGAGGGGGGGAGAGGGGGGGGGGACGGGGGAAAAAGGAGGAAGGTGGAGAAGGGAAAGGGGGAGCCGGAGGAAAAGTAGTGGACGGGAGGGGGAAACATGGAGAGGGGGGCGGAAAGGGGGACGAAAGGGAAGGGGAGGGTGAGGGATCTGGAGGGCAGGGGGAGGCGGACGCCCTGGAGCCCAAACAGAACCTCAAGAGGAGGGGGCTCCAGAGCACTGAACCCCACGGGCTCAGCCAGCCAAGCGCTGGCCAATCAGAAAGATCCCGGCAGCAGACCGAGTACGTGTGCTAGCCGCGAGCGGCAAGCACGCCCTAGCCCAATCCCCTGGCCCCACGAGGGGCCAGGGAGGGAGCAGGGGGGTGCGAGAAAGCTGCTGTGGGGCCCCCTGGATATCGGCAATGCGCTGGCTTGATCGCGGCTCAAGACCCTGTCGCGCACGTTTCATGTGCGACCTTACAGTTTGTCAGCGTGGAGTTGTTGTTGGAAAGGACGCGACACACATTAAGCATGTTACGAGCATATTAATCGATGTGCGGGGAGTAGGCTCCACACCTTGCGCAAATCCCCGCGGGGCCTCATCTGACAAGGATGCGTCCTTCTCCCTGCACTCAAGGCCCATTGCATTCAGAGTGAACAGACGTCTTAGGACTCGCAGGCGTGCGTATTTCGCTCAGACAGTGCGCGCACATCACAATAGTCTCACTCAACTGCTGAAGATCGTGTGCCGTCATGGAGATCGCGGGGCATGCGACAACATGCTCCATCGTAGCGGTGCATCAACATCCTGGTTCAGTCTGACCGCCCGTGATTCCAGAAGAAAACCATGCTGAGTGGTTCGCCTGTGTCATCAAACCCTCTTGATTCGAAGCCATGGTACTTGCGATGCTGACGCCCATCACTCCTGCATAGGCCACGAGGTCGGCCCACGAGTTCCCACAATAATGAGCGAGCGAGCCTTCCTCCTCCACAAAGGGTTTCATAAAAACGGAAAGAGAGCACCCAGACAACATGGCACATCTCGTTACACACCCGCCTCACCTTTCTCAAAATACTGGCATGCGTACTGGGCGAGTTTTCGAGCGTGTCGGTCCAAAGATGACCAGAAGCTACTAAGCCATCACGCTTCATGCATAATAGAGCTTGGCACCCTGCGTAGAGTTCCCTTCGAAAAACTGTCTGGTCCAATCCTGGGAGGCCACCGTACTTGGCGCGCAGGGACCCATCAATAAGCTGACAAAGTTGCACCATTGACCAGCCACTCTGGCCAGAGTGGGATGGCGGGTATGTTGCCCCGAAGCAACTGTGTATGAGATCGGGCCCCACGAATCCGAACTGCTATCTCCCCATTTCAATATTTCAGGCTGGGCCTCAACGAACCCTGGTTGGAGAGGTTCCCTGGGCAGTAAGGTCGAACGTGTCCGTATCGTCGCCCAACGCATCAGCCTCCGTCGACCTCTGGTCCAGCATATCGACGAACTACGCAAGGATCACTGCGGACAGCGCGTCGCGTCGTTGCATTCGGGTCTCGCATACATTACATGTGTTAGAGATCGCCCCATGAAGAGCACCGCAGTAGTGGCACCCACGCGACTCTGCAATACCAAACACCAAACCCCATCGCACCATGAAAGCAGAGGAGGAGGAGAAGAAGGAGGAGGAGGAGGAGGGCTACAGAGAGGAGGCAGAGGGAGAAGGAGGGGGAGAGATTGAGAAGGGATGGGGTGAGGCGGGGGGGAGAAGGCAGGCGGGGAGCAAGCATGGCATCAAAGGGACGAGGCAGGCTGACCACGCCTGCGGCGGCAAAAACACGCTGAACGTCATCGGCGTGTTCTGAGGAGGAGACAATCATTCCCCTCTTCTTCCTCCTCCTTCTCCCCCTCCTCCTCCAATCCTCCTCTTCCTCCTTTTCCTCCTCCTCCTCCTCCTCCTCGTCCTCGTCCTTCTCCTTCTCCTCCTCCTCCTCTTCCTCCTCATCATCATCCTCATCCTCATCCTCATCCTCATCCTCTTCCTCCTCCTCCTCCTCCTCCTCCTCCCCCTCCTCCTCCTCCTCCTCCCCCGCTTCGCATCATCACCATCACCACCAGAATCCACATCCCCGTCATCATCATCATCATCATCATCATCATCATCATCATCATCATCATCATCATCCATCATCATCATCATCATCATCATCATCATCATCATCATCATCATCATCATCATCATCATCATCATCATCATCATCATCATCATCATCATCATCATCATCATCATCATCATCATCATCATCATCATCATCATCATCATCATCATCATCATCATCATCATCATCATCATCATCATCATCATCATCATCATCATCATCATCACCATCATCAGCATCATCGTCATCATCACCATCATGATCACCACCATCATCAACAGCAGCGAACGCAGCATCGGTATCACCATCATCATCATCATCATTATCATCATCATCGCCGGCATCATCACTATCATCAGCAGCACCACCATCGGCATCATCATCACTAGTGTCATCATCAGATCACCCACAGCATCACAATCATCATCGCAATCATCATCAACATCATCATCAGCATCGCCATCATCAGCAGCAGCATCAGCATCAGCAGCATCACCAGCACCATCAACATCATGAACATCAGCATCAGCTTCATCATCAGCGGCAGCAACATCGTCTACAATAACAATATCGGCATCGTCAACAACAACCATTGTCATCATCATCATCATCAACAACATCACCAACACCATCACCATCATCATCAGCATCCGCACCATCGTCTACACCATCATACGTACCAGCAGTACCCGAGCGGTCGCATCAGCATCAGCATCAGCATCGCCATCACCATCATCACACGCAGCATCAGCATCGTCAGCATCAGCGCCAGCATCATCCCCATCGCCACCGTCAGCAACATCATTATCATCATCAGCCTCATCATCGTCAGCATCAACAGTATCGTCACATCAGCATGATCACCACTACTATCGATCGGGGGGGGGAGGAGGAAGGTAGACCCGAGCTGCAATCTTTGACTCTGATCGTGCCTGGGGGGGCCCTGTCGCAAGGCGCGCTGGCCCTTTCGACAATGGAGGCACGAGCCTGCGCAGAGAGTCCCCCTCCCTACACTGACGCAGACCGAGACGGCGCGATAGCGCTGGCAACGGGGCTGCGCGTCCGGAGCCACGCGCGGGGGCGCACAACGGACGACGTCTTACTCGGGACAACCGGCGAAGCCAGATGGGTAGGCTGGGTCGCGCGGTGCCCAAGGAGACGGAGACCCGCCTGAAGCGAAGCATACAGGCACACGGGTCGGAGAGCAAAGTATATCATACCTGGCACCCCGCATTTGCGGATGAAGGTGAGGGAGCGGACCACGCACCCACGAACGGGGTTGGAATGCTCGGCCCCCCCTCTCTGATGAAGCGTTCCTGGATGGGCGGGGGAAGCCAGGCCGAACCCTCACTCGAGCCAGTGCGGCTGCAGGGCGGTCTGGCCTGCCATCCTGCTACCCTCCATTCCCGTGCACGTCCCACGGCAATGTCTCTTTCTCCCCCTGTCCGATGAGAATATCCACCATAACCTGCCCTCCCTTCCCATAAATGATAAGGTCATTATCGATGGGGGGCAGGGGGGGAGGAGGAGGATGGTAGACCCTAGCTGCAATCTTCGACTCTGCTCCTGCCTGGGGGGGGCCCCGTCGCGGGGCGCGCTGGCCCCTTCGACGAGGGAGGCGCGAGCCTGCGCAGAGAGCCCCAACGCTAGTTCAAGATGAGCCCCCCCCAGCGCTGAGGAAAAACTGATGAAGATAGATGCAAATGAAGGGTCTCCCTTTTTTGTCAGGCTAGTCGAGCAAAGAGGCCACCGAAGTCCAATTCGGCGGCAGGCTGCCCCCTGGGAGCCAGAGCCTCCCACCCGCGAGATTCACGGTGAGACGCGATGGCTGGGTCGTCAAAGCCCGCGCGACTAAGCACATCGGCCGGATTATCGTTCGAAGGGATCCACTCAAACCAAGGGAGGGCCCCGAAAGATGACAAAAAAGCCGTCGCCACGAGCGCTCAACGGCGCGTGGATTCGGTCGGGGTGCCGGCCTTAACCAGAGCAGACTATGCGGCCTTGTTGTCTATAAACCAGACAACGTCTACGCTTGCGAAAAATGAAGGCGCCGCCCACGCAAGGAGCGGAGCTGCGAACAACTCTGTCTGATTGATACTGCGGTCGGGCCCGCCAAGGAATTCGGCTGCTCGTGGAGTTACGTCGTAGACGAGACATGCAGGCCCGCGGCCGGGAGCCAGCACCAAAGCGCCGATCCGCGCGCGACCGCCCTCGGAAGAAGCATCGGCGTAGACTATCACCGGCGGAAGGGAACGCAGAGGCGCGCAGCGCGCCACGGCGGCGAGGCATTACAAGCAGCACTGCAAGTTGTCCGTGATGTCAGCCGCATTTTCGAAACACTGCCGAGCAATCAGGGCGGATCGGGCCCCGCGACACGGGCGACCCGACAGAAAGCTATCCAGCCAAATGGGGGTGCTTCGGAGATGGGCAGCCCCCCCTGACAGGAGACGCCCGCACCGATTAGCTTGCACAATTCCCTGAAGAAAACGCTCTCTAGACCCGAGTTTGGGCTCAAAGGTCACCGCGCCATCTGCAAGAGCGCGCAAGGTCGCGCACGCGGCCCAGGAAGGGGGGGCATCGAGGCAGGCGGCACTCGCTTGCTGGCCGACAACTTCACGCCGAGAATGCGGGCCAGACAGAGAAAAGCAGCATGCGAGTCGCCTTGCGCGCGCGCGACGTCGACGATTATATTATCGTCGACAGAATACCCGCACATGATGACAAGCAAACGCCGGGCCGCTGCTGTGAGCAACAGGGGCAAGCGATTGAACTTATCCACAGCCGCGCCAAGGCCGAAGGGCAACCCACCCAAGACACTGCGCAACGGCCGGCGCGTGTCAGGGTGGAGCAGCGCGGCCGCCACTAAGGCCATGCCCCTGCGAGTCGGAAATAACTGCCTGTAGCCCTTCCACTAATCCTTCACAGCCGCGCTGAATACCAGCCAGGGCGGAAGGGGTAGACGAGCGCTCTGCGACCCCCATGGCAAAGAGCCTCGAGATCAGCAGGAGCAGCTCTGAGGGAATATAAACAAGTGTTTCCGACACGTGGGAGAGAGCGTTGGTCTTTGTTTTTTTTGTTGCCATCGTCGATCAGACGCCACTTGGTGCCCTGCCAGATGGCGCGCCGAAAGGGAAGGCGGAAGCCGCCCTGCCCGAAGCGTCGCTCGAGGTCCTGGCGGGCGCAGAACGGCTCGGCGAGCCCTGCCTCAATCTCCTCCAGGGTGAGGTAGTAGATTACCTGCGTAAGCGGGCGAGGTCGAGCACGAACTCGCGCGCCGCTGGCCCGCGCACGGCTTCGCCGCGGCGCAACGGGCAATTGTGCCCCGACGACTTCGCAACGCACGGGCGCGGGGCGCCTGAGGGCGAGACATCCGACGCAAGTTCGAAATCATGGACGAGGCGAACCGGGAGGTCGCGATCCGGCCAATCCAGCAGACACACAAGCAGCGCAGCCATGACAGGCGACACCCCCGGGGCATCAGGCACACAGACGCGCCGTTGCCGTAAGGCGAAATCGCCCAGAGGCCGGGCCACGTGGGCAAGACGTTGCAGAAGCTTGACCCTGCGTCTCCGCTGGTCGCGGACACGGGGGCCAAGGGCGGCGCTAGCGCGGACTGCAAAAAGCAAGTCCACTTCCAGAGAGGGCCGGGCCGCGAACGGGTGTTCCACTTCGGAAGCACGTCTCCCGCGCTCGCCCGGCCCGATGCCTTGGGCAACCAGGCCTGGAAGTGCGCGGTCAGGAGCGGAGGGGCGACGCTGCCGGGCCGCGGCCGCATGCATCTGTGATTTGGAGCCAGTGCGGCTGCAGGGCGGTCCGGCCTGCCATCCTGCTACCCTCCATCCCCGTGCATGTCCCACGGCAATGTCTCTCTCTCCCGCTGCCCGATGATAATATCCATCAGAACCTGCCCTTCCTTCCCATGACTGATAAGGCCATCACCATCATAATCAGCATTCTCAAAAGCATCGCAACCACAACCATCATCATAATCAGCACCGTCGTCAACGGAACCAACATCGACATCATCATCATCCTCAGCAGCATTGTCGTTATCATCATCCGCATCATAATCAAAATCACAGTCATCATCCGCGGCGAAATCATCATCACCATCACCAACATCATCATCACCATCGGTAGTACGATCACCCGCATCCTCAGCAGCATCGTCATCATCAGCGTCATCGTCATCACCGTCACCATCATCATCTATATAATCATCAGCATCAGCACATGCATCATCATCATCAACCACATGTTTACCATCCTCAGCAGAATCATCACCGTCACTGGCCCCATCCCCATCATCATCCCCGTCATCATCAGCAGCAGCAGCAACAACATCAGCATCATCAGCGGCAACCCAAAACAAAACAAAAAAGTGAACTTCGCCATGGAGGCAAACCAGTACAACAACATTCCCGACCTCGGGCTTCACCATCAAGCTCTTCAAGTTAACAACAATGCTCCTTCGGGGCGGCAGAAACACTGCGACAAGAGAGCTTGCAGCGGATCCCAGCTCAGTCTCGCAACCTTCTGTCCAGACCGCGCTTCCGAAAGAGCGCCGGCAGCTACGCCGCATCGGCGAGAGCGTCACCACTCGCACACACTACTTTGAGGATTTCTTTAACAAGCATCACATCCAGCTGGCTGGCATCCAGGAATCTCGTCTTCCTGATTCTGGGCGTCAAGATCTGGACCA